CTTCTCAAGCAAATCCCGGGACGTCATTCTCCCCCTGTACTCGGCCTTAGTGAGGCTGCAGCTGGAGTACTGTGTCCAGTTTTGGGCTCCACAATTCAAAAAGGATGTGGAGAAGCTTGAGAGAGTCCAGAGAAGAGCCACGCGCATGATCAGAGGTCAGGGAAGCAGACCCTACGATGACAGGCTGAGAGCCCTGGGGCTCTTTAGCCTGGAAAAGCGCAGGCTCAGGGGTGATCTGATGGCCACCTACAAGTTTATCAGGGGTGACCACCAGCATCTGGGGAAACGTTTGTTCACCAGAGCGCCCCAAGGGATGACGAGGTCGAATGGTCACAAACTACTTCAAGATCGTTTCAGGCTGGACATAAGGAAGAATTTCTTTACTGTCTGAGCCCCCAAGGTCTGGAACAGCCTGCCACCGGAGGTGGTTCAAGCGCCTTCATTGAACACCTTCAAGATGAAACTGGATGCTTATCTTGCTGGGATCCTATGACCCCAGCTGACTTCCTGCCCTTTGGGCGGGGGGCTGGACTCGATGATCTTCCGAGGTCCCTTCCAGCCCTGATGTCTATGAAATCTATGAAATCTATGACTGTCCGCTGGGGGGCAAGTGCCTGCCCGACTCAGGAAGCACCAGTCGCCCATGGTGGGAGATGGTGAAGTTTGGCTGGGACAGTCTTGGTTGGTCCTAATAAAGTCATATGGGGAAAGAACTGGAGATGGGATGTTTTCAGAGCCGGAAGTGGGGATCAAGGCCAGGGGATGAACAAAGAGGGCTTAGGTAGGTTGACAGGAGAGGAGAAAGGTCTGAAGTGGGGGAACCTGAGCATACTCCATTTATGATACTAATTCAGGGCTAGCAATGTTCTTTGGATAGTTGGTTCATTAGACCAACTAAATAATTCAGAGCCGGCACTCTTTCTGTTTCTCTCATTTTTGACAGAAGGTAGAGCAGGGTGACACCTGTGAGACTAATTAATTTCAAAATACACAAACTTCATAGGTGACAACCTGCTTCATCAGATACTATGAACAGACTTGCAGCTAACACTGCTAACTGCCTTTTTCTTCTCAGTTTTGAGAGATGGCCAAGAAGGGGGACATCCTGGTAACTGGCAATAGAGGGAGGGAGGGACTGGCCTACGCCCCTGCAATCATGCCAGGAGGGGAAGGAGAACTCATTTCAGTCTTGGAAACCATGAAAATAGAGTGCCATGGGATGGGCACAGACAGGAACCATTCACAAACTCAAATACTAACAATGGCCTCCTAGGAGGCAAGGAGCCTGCTCCGATGCACTGAAAATCCAGCACATTGGAGCAGATGTGATTAATCGAGTCTGCTGGAGCACTTAAACTGACATGTTCCAGCTGACTCTAGTGCCATGTATATTAGCAACTCCTTCCGACACCCACCCGCTGAAAAATGTCAGCAGGGTGCTTTGAACTAAAGCTCATTCTATAAGCTTTAGTTCAAAGTGACCCACTGCCATTTTTAAGTGCCGGGACACTGATACACATGACGCTCAGGCACTTTTAATTAGTGTGGCTCACTAATTAGAGTCCCCCCCACCCCCACACCTCCCGGAGAACATGTAAAAATGCACAATGATGCCATTGCCGTGGATGCAGCATTCCTGAGAACTCGAGAACTCAAGGGCAGTTGCTCCCCACAACCTGTCCCAGTTCCTGGGCCCCCTCAGTGGCTTTCCCACTCTTTTTCCCAGTTGGGCATTTTGGTTTTTGTTCACGTTCATTTGATGCTATGGGAGGTGTGGACTGTGTGAAGCATCAGAGACCACAGGCCCCTGACATTCAGCATGGAGCCACCTGCAGAACTGCTCCCTGCTAACCCTGACCTGAGGAGACCAACACCAGCACTGACAGAGATCAGCAATGCAGTCCCAACAGCCACTTTGGTCTTTCTCCCTGATGATCCTGCTCCCTATTTCCTAGGATGAGAAATCACATCTTGTACCAGAGCAATGCTTATATCTTGGTTTCTGGTCCCTCCCAACCTGGGCTGATTTTGACCCAGTAAAAGGGAAGTGAAGAGTGCTAAACACCAATTCCTGATTAATGCAAGGCCTCCGTTTTGTGAGATAATAGGAAGAGTTTTTAGAATATCTTTAGAGACTGGGTGTTCCAGTCATGATGGCAAACTTCATTTGCTGTTCTGAGATGCATTTTCCCCATGCTTAAGCAAAAACCCAGTGCAGCTGCTAACTCACCCAGCTATGACAGTCCTATGGGACTGTGGCAGTGATGCCTACACAGTCAGATGGACTGCAAATTGGCTGAGGGGTCGTACTCAGAGAGTGGTGGTGGACAGGTCATATTTGACCTGGAGGGAAGTGGGCAGTGGAGTCCCCCAGGGCTTAGTCCTTGGGCCCGCACTGTTCAATTTCTTTATTAGCGACTTGGACGACAGGGTGAAAAGCACCATTTAAATTCACAGACAACACCAAGATTTGGGGTGAGGTGGGCACGCTAGAAGGGAAGGACAGATTACAGTGGGCCCTGGACAGGTTACAGGGGTGGGCAAATGAAAATAGGATGGGATTCAATACTGACAAGTGCAGGGTGCTGCACTTGGGCAGTAGGAACCAGCAGCATACCTATAGGCTGGGGAACTCCCTTCTCGAAAGCACGGTGGCAGAAAGAGATCTTGGAGTCATTATTGACTCCAAGATGAACATGGGCGGCCAATGCAAGGACACAGTCAGTAGGGCTAACTGTACCTTGTCGTGCATCCATAGATGCATCACAAGCAAGTCCAAGGAGGTGATCTTTCCCCTCTATGTGACACTGGTCAGGCCGCAGTTGGAGTACTGTGTCCGGTTCTGGGCGCCGCACTTCAGGAGGGATGTGGACAGCATTGAGAGGGTCCAAAGGAGGGCCACTCACATGATCTGGAGACAGCGGAGCAGACCCAATGAGGAGAGGCTACGGGACCTTAACCTGTTCAGCCTTTGCAAGAGAAGGCTGAGGGGGGACCTGGTAGCTGTCTATAAACTTACCAGGGGGGACTAGCAGGGTTTGGGAGAGACCTTGTTCCCCCGATCGCCTCCCGGAGTAACAAGGAATAACGGCCATAAGTTGTTAGAGAGTAGGTTCAGACTAGACATCTGAAGGCACTACTTCACAGTCAGGGCAGCTAGGATCTGGAACCAACTTCCAAGGGAAGTGGTGCTTGCTCCTACCCTGGGGGACTTTAAGAGGAGGCTTGACGTTTACCTTGCTGGGGTCATTTGAGCCCAGTTAACTCTCCTGCCCAGGGCAGGGGGTCAGACTAGAAGATCTACAAGGTCCCTTCTGACCCTACATTTATGAATCTATTAAAATCACTCCAAAACACCTGGGTGCAAAAAATACTTTTTATCCTGTTATAAATAGCTTGCTCCTGTTGGATGAAAGACCAACACAGGGTTTCATCAACCAAGATCTTTACTGAGTGACACACACAGATTAAGTGGGGAAAAGCAATACTTTATCTAAAACCATTCATACTCACATACACACAGGCCTATCTACTGGTGCTCAAGTTCAGTCATGATGGCCAGTCACAGTGCCTCTGGACACGACGATCTTATGGGAGGGACGCTGGTAGTTTTCTCTTGAGTTGATGTGGATGGCATACAACATCGTCAGGGCCTTGTCTTCACTGTCCTTTTATACTTAGTTTAGACAGACTTTGCTGCAGTGCCCCTGACAACCCGTTTAACCAATCACCTTGTTGCTGTTGAGCTAACTCTAGTCACAGACCTCATGACTTAGATTTGTAGATGGATGGCAAGACTTAGATATGCAGATGGTAAGGTCGATGGTAAGGAGTTACTTTGATATACAACATCCTGAGACAGGGGAGACAAAATATCTGCTTGCTCCTTATCTTTGTTGTAGGTGGTTTGTTAGTTCTTCTCAAGGCTGCTTTCTCAGTAGACTGGGTATGCTTGATACCATATTCATTCACTCATTCATGCATTCATCTAAAATTAATTTTTGCAATTTATGGGAGGAGGAGGGGGGTCAGGTCCAGACTCAGACTTTTGTCAACATTAGCTTGTCTAGCAGCTGAGCAATACTTAGTGGGGAGGGATGAGAAAGGAAAATATAGTGACACTTCCCAGTCTTGAGAGAAACCAGCCTGGAGGGGTCAACATCCATAAAAAATGATGCCCAAAATGTGATGTGCTAAGCAACAGTGAAGCATGCTCAGCCAGCCACAATGGTGAAGAGAAAAAGTAGGGCACGTTCCCAATCCTATACCATACTGAAGCCAAGGGCAAGTCCTGTTGCTGTTGCTACTGTGACTGCACTGTAGTGTTGACCTATCTCAGCTAGCTTTGAAGTAGCTAGCTCAGGTACCAGTAGCAGCCAGGGCAGCACAGAACTCAGCATGGGTTAACTATTTGAAAATTTACCCTGTTTCCAGGGCAGGATTTGCAACTCACACTGCAGCTCCAGGGTCCTGTAGCCTACCCTGTGGGAGGGACCCAAACTAGCTAGTATAAAGCCAAGTCAGGGAGGTCTACATTAAAGTGCAGCCACAATAGTGACTGTAGCATATGGCATACCACACTATCATATGGAGTTTATGTAGGCAATGAAGGAAGGAAAGGGCAGAAAAAACTGGGCATGGGGTCAGATTTTTCATGGCAACATCAGGGGTTCGTTCCCTGTTGCGTTTCTGAGCATTGCACTGCTAGTAGTAGCATTAATGCCACCCAGGAGCTGCTGCCTCTCTAGTATTTGAAATGCTATTATTCTAGCACTGACCTGAACAGCAGAGTGGAGTGGTTTTCCTAACCTGTCTCCAATGGTTTCTCCTTCTGTGCGCTCACCAGGATCTAAGATCTACGTTATGTCCAAGATCTACGTGGCTGTATTCTTTGGAGAGTTAGGTGGAGATCTATATTAGGATTGTTACAGGGAGGCAAACACCCAACTAACTAGGATCTGGGATCTATGGCCTCCTTTGAAAATCCTGACAGTAACTTGTAAAGCTGGTGACTGGTTTTAAAACCTATGCTGTCTCTTAGCAGGGTGCTGGTAGCAGAGTTCTATATACTCTGATCATCTTTATACTGCACTGGTTACTGAATCTTTTGGAGTGGCTGGAGCCTGAGGACAAGGACACAAGCAGCAGGACAGATGCAAGAGAAAAGCAGGTGAAGCCACAACCTGATCAGCATGGTAAGAGCCTAATAGTTAATTTCTGAAGTATTACTCCTGTGCTGACACTCGCTTCTCACTTCAATTCCAGTAGGATTTTACCATCCCATTTTTTCACATGGAATGCTTTATCTTGCATGATAGATGGTATGGCAGGCTCATGAACACTATAAAGGGATGGATCTAGATCTAGCAATTCCCAGGACAGAAGCTAGTTGAGCTGGAACTGAAATTGGGGAAAAAGAAAGAAATAAAGTGAGAATTATGATGTTACTAACAAAGTGCCCGTCAAGAATGATGGCCAGGCAGTGGGGATGGAGCACCACCACCAGCTCGCCCATGCTGTTGCCACTCCACAGCTGGCCACACGCAACACCCTCCCCTCCACTCTGTGTCTGGCCCCGTGCGCCCCCCTACACCTGACACCCACTCACCCACACACACCAACCCACGCACCACACCCACCCAGCCACAAACACCCACCCACATGTCTCTCACACACACACACAGCCCCGTGCCACACTCACATCCAGCCACACGCCAGCCACACACCCAGCCACATGCCACACCCACACCCAGCCACATGCCACACCCAGCCACACACCCACCCACATGCATGCCACCCACCCACACAGCCACATACCTCACAACCAGTCATCTACATGCCACCCATCCACCCAGTTCCCCCCGTGCGTGCAGTGGTGGGAGCCACCTGTCTCTGCCCTGAAGGAGCTGCCAGGCTCCCCTGGCCCCATATCCTGGCCTGACCTGAGTGCAGCCCACCCCCACCAGGTGCAGCCTCAGCCCCAGGCCCTTCCAGCAGCGGCGGCGATGGGCCACCATGACCCTCCCTTTCCCACCCCCAGTGCTGCCTCTGCATACAGTACCCTGCTGCCACATCCTCTCATAGCCCCAGCTGTCAGTCACACCCCACGGGGGGGAGAGAGGGGTGGGCACAGCTGCAGAGTGCTGCACAGGGAGCGGGCATGGGGGGCACACCCTGCCCCGCCCTGCAGCCACATGGTGCAGCTGGCGGATGCTGCCCATGGGCCCCCTGTGCCGGCTCCCCATGTGCCTGAGGGCCATGCCCCTGTGCACCCCACAGCCGCAGCTGGCAGCTGATCCCTGTGTAGGTGGGCCTGACATGTAGCCCAGGGTGCTCTGTGGGGAGCTGGTGTGGTGGGCCTGCCCTGCCCTGCACTCACATGCTGCAGCCAGCGGGCACTGTCCGCATGCCCCATGCCCGCTCCCTGCACAGCACCCTACGGCCATGCGCCACACCTCTCCCCTTCCCCCAGCAGAGCACACCTTGGCCCTACTGCCTCTGCCTCACCTGTGTGTCTCTCTGTCAATAAGGCTCTGGGCGCTGCATGTGCAGTTGGCCAGGAGCATTACAGACAGACAGACACACAACTGGAAAGTGCCAGTTATATTAGAACTATCCAATTGCCAGTTAAGAATGATGGCCATGGGGGAGGAGGAGCAGCCGGGGACAGAGGCCTGCGTCCAGCTCCGGCTCCCCCCACCTTTGGGGCTAGGCCTGCTTCCTTGCCTCTCCCTCACTTCGGGGCCAGGCTAGCCCCACCTCTATCTGCTGGCCTTACTTCCCCCTGCTCCATCACCTGGCCCCACACCCACCTCCATCCACCCTGTCACCAGTCCGGCCCCCCATCTCCATCCACCCCATCACCACTGCCTGCAGGGAGCAGGCAGGGCATGGCCAGCAGTGCTGGCCTTGCTCTCCTTCTCCCGTCTGTCTGCTCCATTTTCACGCCCTGCAGGAAGGGGTGGGGGTTGGGCAGCAGGGATGGAACCCAGCATCTGGCCCTGTGCCCTCATTCCCCTCATCTGGCCCCGCCCCGCTAATTTGGGCCCGAACCTGTTCTCACCCCCATAGCGGTTCGGGTCCAGGGCTGCTCTCTGCCTGTCCATCCCCCTCCGGCACAGTGGCCCTGACCCCATTCCCTCACCCCCTTGCACCGCCACCACCACCTCCTCCACGGCCAGTGCCATTAATTAAGCTTTTACAATAGAACTTTACAGTCTAACTGGGTTTTGTGAACCTCCTAGATTAGACAGGTCCTGACTAGAAAGGTGGACTGTGCGACTTTCTAGGACCATGGTGTGTCCAGTATTACTATTGTATCTTGACTCTGGCCTGGTCTGAAGAACTAGTGTCTAAGGCATGGACCATTTACCAAACATGCCAGGATGCTTTCAGCATCCCAGACATTCTGAGCCAGTTTCACACAAGGAACGCAGATAGTCATCAGGGCTGTGCAAAGCTTCAGTAGCTGATTTGATTCAAAGGAGATTCAGCTCGATTTGGGGGCCAAATCTCCAAATCTGAATCGAATTGGGAGACCAAGTAAAAGCTCCGAATCGATTCAAAGCATCTGAATCGATTTGGAATAGTTTCAGAAAAAGATTCAGCCAATTTGGAGATTTGGCTATAGACTAAACAGGCAGCTGACAGTGGTCTCCAGCTGGTAAGTCTGTTGAGGTAGGGGGAGGAGGGAGGGAAGGGCGGGGGAGGAGGGAGGGATTGAGGCTGGGGTTGGGACAAGCTGTCCAGCCGGGCCAAGGGGTTCATTACACAGGGAAGGGGACAGGGTGGGGTACTGGGAGCAGCAGCTCTGCCCTGATGCCGCTTGCTCAGCTGGGGAGGAGAGGGGTGGGATGTGGGTGCGCATCCCTCCAGGTGGAAGGGAGTAAGTGGCAGCAGGGCAGAGTTCCTGCTCCCAGTGCTGCCACGCCCACATCCTGCACTCCCTGTACCAGTTGGCAAGCAGTGACATGGCAGAGCCCCCACTCCCAGTGCTGATGCGGGCGTGGTAGTGCTGAGAGTGAAGGCTATGCCCTGCTGCACCCCAGAGTGAACTGCGCCTGCATCATGCCTCTCCCTGCTCCCACCCCAGCCGGCTGAGCAAGCAGCAGCAGGGCAGAGCCCCCACAGCTCCCCCAACCCAGTGTGGGAGAAGCCCCCATGGCTGCCCTGCTCGGCCCTGCCTGGCCCCAGCCTCTCGGCATTTAAAAAAAAAGAAAGAAGCCCCACACTCACTGGCTGCAGGGGCAACTGGGGCCTCTGGATGCTTGTGGCAGAGGCCCCCCATGCAGCGCGGGGCAGTGGGGGAAGCAGGGATCATCCCCCCACCTGGCCTCCATGTGCAGCTGCCCCATGGTGTGGGTGCAGTGCAGCTCGGCAGGGCACCATGCACTGTCCCAGAGCTGGGGCTAGTGGGGCTGAGTGGTGACAGGCTCTGGTTGACACATGGAGCTGCCCTAGCTCCCAGACAAATTGTACAGGGTGCTTGGGAATTGAACAGGAGCCTTGGGAATTGAATAAGTTCGATACCCCACCTCCCTGTTTGATTTGCCTGGGAGCTGGGGCAGCTCCACATGTTAGCCAGAGCCTGGCACAACTCAGCCCCAGTGGCCCCAGCTCCCAGACAGTGTGCAGTGCCCTGCCAAGCCATGCTGCACTCATGCCATGGGGCAGCTGTCACGTGGGGGCCAAGTGGGTGATCCCCACTGCCCCGTGCTGCATGGGGGGCTCTGCCATGAGCACCCAGAGGCCCTGATTGCTGCAGTCGGTGAGTGTGGGGCTTTTTAAGTGCTGGGAGGCTGGGCTGGGCCACATCTGGTTCCATTCTGCCCAACATGCCAGCCTGTCTAGGCCTGATTGTATCTGCAACCTATCTCTGGGTGTGTCTGCACAACCCCATATCTTGGTGTCGTCTGCAAACTTGGCCAATGGGCTTTTCACCCCCTCATCCAGGTCGTTGATGAAGATATTGAACAGCACTGGGCCAAGTACCAACCCCTGGGGTACACCACTGCCCACATCACGCCAGGATGACACCGATCCATTCATTTGGACTTTCTGCATCCTACCCCGCAACCGGTTTCATACCCACTTGATGAGCCCGATATCTTCCAGTTTTCTGATCAGTACCTCATGGGATACCAGGTCAAAGGCTTTCTGAAAGTTGAGGTATATGATGTCAACCACTTTTCTCTTGTCCAGGTGACAAGTTACCTGATCATAGAAAGAAATGAGGTTGATCAGACAAGACCTGACTGTGATGAAGCCATGCTGGCTGTCATTCAGTATCATGCTTTCTGCAAGTTCATTACATATAGCTTCTTCGATGAATGTTTCTAGGATTTTCCTTGGAATAGAAGTCAAGCTAATTGGCTTGTAGTTTCCCGGGTCTTCATGCTTCCGCGTCTTGAAGATTGGCACAACATTGGGCCCTCTTCTAGTCCTCTGGGATTTCTCCAGAGGCCCGTGATTTTTTAAAGACCTTTGCCAGGGGCTCTGCAATTACTTCGGCCAACTCTTGTAGCACTCTTGGGTGGAGTTCATCCGGTCCTGCTGATTTATATATGTCTAATTTCTTTAATTGATCATACACCAGTTCTATGGCAATGGTGGGAATGGTGTCAATCCTGCCCTGCTCGTTCTGTGTCCTACCTGGCATGTTGTTCCCCTTGGTCTTGTGAAAGACCGAGGCAAAGTAGTCATTTAGGAGTTCCATTTTTTCCTGAGTGGTAGTGACCAGGTATCCTGAGGCATTGAGCAGCAGCCCCACACTCCCGTTAGTTTTCCTTTTACTCCCTACATAGCTAAAGAAGGACTTCTTGTTGTCCTTGATTCTTGTAGCTAGTTTTAGTTTGATTTCTGCTTTAGCTTGCCTAATCTGTTTTCTACAAGTGCGGGCCATTGTCGAGTAGTCTTCCCTAGAGGCTGTCGCAAGCTTCCATTGTTTGTACGCCTCTTTCTTTTTCTGTAGGAGGGCTACAACTTCCCTGCTTAGCCAAGAAGGTTTTTTGAGCCTTCTGCTACTTTTTCTCTGTAAGGGAATGGATTTTCTCTGAGCCTTAAGGATTGTATCCTTAAGGAATGACCATTCTTCTCGTGCTCCCTTTACCTGTGGTCCTTGGTCTCTCAGGGCATTCTCTACTAGTGACCTGATCTTATTAAAATTAGCATTTTTGAAGTCTATGACTTCTAGCTT